GTATATATATATATATATATATATATATATATATATATATATATATATATATACACCCCCTGGTTTTAAATATTTCCCAAATAATGATTAACAGAGCAAGGACATTTTCACAGTATGTCTGATATTTTTTCTTCTGCCTTGTTAACCTAATTAACCTAGTTAAGCCTTTAACTGTCACTTTAATCTGAATAGCAGTGTCTTAAAAATAGCCTGTAAAATAGTATTTATTGTCATCCTGGCAAAGATATAATAAATCAGTTATTAGAGATAAGTTATTACAACTATTATGTTTAGAAATGTGTTAAAGAAATCTTCCCTCTGTCAAACAGAAATTAGGGAAAAAAATAAACAGGGGAGCTAACCATTCTGACTACAACTTTGCACATAGCAGGTCATTTCTGGGAAATATACTGTAATTGGCTCTTAAAAATAAAACACATCTAAGCTGTTTCTTTTCTCCACACCTAACTGAGAATTTTTGGATCAAACTTTATGCCAAAACTCACAAGTCGGATTGTGGATGACTAGAGAGCCATGAGTCTCTTGTCCTTAACTCTAGATTGTCCCAAAAACAGCATAGTAAAGCACGGTATTGTGCCCACTTTTCCCAGCTGTATTATCAGATTTGTGGCTCTACAGATCCTGCATTAAGACACCATGGGAAACTCAGCATGAGTGTTTCAGGCTGGCTCTAACCGAATGAATGACATTTTGTCACAGTCTGTGGTTTTGAGGCTGTCTCGTTCTTCCAAGCACTCTGAACAGAACACACTTTTTTTTTTCTTTTCGTGTTTTTTTTTTCTGGAATTGCGATGCATTGTTGATATCAAAAGGCCATTGCGGAGTGATCTGTCAAACAGTGGCTTGGTGGTTTTGGAAAGGCAGAAAACACTTACAGTCTGTTATTAAAATGCATGACCACAGGGAAACAAGACACTGATTGTTAAGAGCCAAAGATACATTGACTCACAGCCACCCTAAAATAGGTGTGCTACATGTTTGTGTAAGTGTCCGAGCATGTGTGTAAAGGCATTAGTATAGGAAATGATGCTACAATTCCAAGGAGACAGGAAATGCCTTCAATCCAGCATGTGGTGATTTTTCCATTGGTGATTCAATGGCTTGGACTGGGACCGTGGTTTCTCTCATGAGAGGTGCAAAGTGACTCATTGTATGAGGTGGAGCTGCTGTTCGGTCATGTGTGTGTACACGTGCCTGTTTTAGGTAGAGAATTCTCCATCTGACTTTGTGAATTTTGATTGTTTTGACATAAACTGAGTGCTCATTCTTTCAGTGTTTACATGGTTAAGAACAATCACAAGTATCTCACTAGTCTACAAGAAACAAGGCATCAGTATCAAGGGTTTAGTTTTCTCAAATAATTAAGACGGAGCTAACATGAAAATTAAAAACGTGTCATCAATTAGTCACCTTCATGTCATTCTGAAGAGTTTCTATTTTTAGTTCAACTTGAAACATATGTTTGGAAAGTTTATCTGTGTTTTGTCTGCAGAGTTACAATTGGGGTCCAAAGCAAGATTAGATTTTTAGATGAACAATACCTTGAAGCTTGCGTAAGGCAGTGATTTACTGCAATGGTTCAAGTTGTAGTATTGCTGAATTTACAATATTGTACTATACATAATAATGTACTCTTAAGGTCATTTTTTCCTTCACTTTTGTCAATTGGTGAAGTTTTGTTGCTCGCCACTGTTGCTACCATTCTTGCTTGGTTTGAGACTTGTGGAGCTGTGCATGGATTGATTTGCTCTTCAGTGTTTGGACTTTCAGCAATGAAATTTAAACCACACTGAATTGAACTGAACTTCAACTCTGAAAACTGGACTGACGCAGTTTCAGTTTAATAGAACTTCTATGTTAAGCTGCTTTGACACAATCTCCATTGCAAAAGCGCTATAGAAATAAAGATTGTTGAGAGTTGAATTGAATATTATTTTTACTGTGATGTGACCACAATGCAGATGCCCGAAATACACTTCAGCCTACAGACATGCTCTTTGTCAGCATTTCTGTCTCTTTTGGAAATTTTGTTGGTCCTTTTGGTAAAAAACAAAAGTTGCATTTGATGATTTGCAGCCTTTCACTTGGCAAGACAGATGTGATTTTCAGTAGTCAAATGTTCCCCCGAGAACCACAGTCCTGCAAATTTTTGATCTAACCTTGCTTTCCAGGAACCTTTAGACCTTGATTAGCTTGTTCAAGTGCATTTGGTTCAGGTTAGAGGTTGATGCTCTGCTGGACTGCTCCAGGCCTAAACTTGGCCACATGGGACAAGATATGCTGAACAAATACTAATGTTAATTTGCTACTTGTGTTCCCATTGTGGTAAAGAAAGTAAGCTTTTCTAGGGTTGATAATGGATGCGTGAATAATGTGTTAAATGTTACTTTAACTGAAGGAGTATCTGGTAGAACTTAATTATTGAGTGATGTGACATATGAATGTGATTTTGATGTACTTAGGCCAGGGTGCCCAAACTCAGTCCTGGAGAGCTGGTGTCCTGCATTAGCTCCAGTGTCTTTCGACACCTGCCTTGAAGTTTCTAGTATACCTAGAAAGAGGTTAATTAACTGGTTCAGGTGTGTCTGATTGGGCTTGGAACTAAACTCTGCAGGACACTGGCCCTCCAGTACCAAGTTTGGGCACCCCTGACTTAGGCAGACCTTAAAACAGCTTAGTACGTATTTGTGTGTGTATGGAAAAAAAAAAATTAAAACATAATTTTTTTATCTTCTACAGACGTTATTCACACCGAAGGTCCATTGGATGGTAGTCTCTACGCTAAAGTTCGTAAGAAAGAGTCTCTGGAAGGAGGGGTTACAGCCAATGGTCTCCCAGCTGCTGCTGATCACACTTTACCTGCTGTAGACCACACTCTACCACCAGTTGACCACGCCTTGTCTGTAAGCAGTGATTCAGGCAACTCCACAGCGTCCATCAAGACTGACCGCACTGATGAAGCCAGCCATCAGCCAGCATTGGTGAGTCAGCCATCTTCCCAGCCCCTCAGCCCTGAGGAGAAACAGGAGCTGGACCAGTTGCTCAGTGGTTTGGAAGCACCAATGCATCGCACAGGTTACCAAAGCAGCCCTGGTGGGGGTGGTGGTGGAGGTGGTGGAGTCCTACATCTCGTCCCTGCCCAGGTACACGTCAATGGACACAGCAACATAGACAGAGAGACAGATATCCTTGATGATGACTTGCCCATCAGCCAGGAAGGGAACAGTGTGGACAGTCTTGGAACTCTCTCATCTTTTGAGGGCAGAGCCACTCCTGCGGATCTATACTACCAGTCAGAGACAGTCATTAATGGACAAGATATGCCCTACTTAGAGAAGAGTGTCCATGAGAAAATGCTAGAGCCCAGAGTTCACAGCTCATCATCTGTCCAAGAGCACTTGGGAGCCCCTAGTGGGTATGCTAACCAGAATGGCAACATCTATCGATCTCAGTCATTAGGAGCAACCCCGAACACAGACCAGAAGTACATGCCCAAAGCTCCAGCACGCACAACCAGCAGTAGGGATGCCGTGCAGAGACTGAATGTTTGGCAACAATTTGGTGTACCAGAAGTCCCAGTCACAGATGGGGTCACCTTCAACCCTGTACTACAATCCCACAGCCTTCCAGAGTTCCCTCAGATGGCATCTCAACAAGAGATTGAGCAGTCCATTGAAGCCCTCAACATGCTGATGCTGGACCTTGATCCAGCACTTACTCAAGTCCCCAAATCCCACAGCGCTCCATCTGGAGAAAGTGGTGTGGTCACCACCCAACCATCTTTCTCTCAAACCCAAGCACGCCCATCCTACCAGGCTGACACTGCTATTCATGACCGCGGTGCGGCCTCTTCAATGGGATTTCCTTTGACCTTTCAACAAGTAACTGGAGAGCCTTCACAACCCACCATGAAACAGCAGAAACCCACAACTACATCCCAGCATGTCGAATTCGCTTCTGAAGCAGGAGGTCAGGCCCCCATGTCCCAGTCCACAGTGCCTTCCTCCACCTTTGGAGTTCTCCAGTTGAAACCCCTCAACATTTATCCCTCAAGTACCACATCCCAGTCCCCCGAGCCTCAGGAGACTCAGCGTAGCTACTCTTCTTCCTCATCCCCTCTTCCCAAAGAGTCTGAACCAGAAGATAGCAGCTACAAATTGGAGGGTCTTGTAGCTCACCGTGTAGCTGGTAAGATCAACCTCGAAATACCTTTTTAACAGTCAGTTTTCTTGCTCATATGTGCATTTCTGATGGTTTGTTGATCAATAAAAACATGTGCTAACTAGTTAAGACTTTTAACTATTAGGCTGCAATGCTTTATCAGATTTTTTAAATGTAGAAAATGCTAATTGCGTAATTATGTCATTGGAACTATAGTACAGGAATTCATCTCTATGTTTGAGTGCTTAAGCTAAGGTTGTCTTAAAAGCTGCCTTTTACATTGAAGGCGGTGCCTTTTTTGGTGGAGTTTCTTTGTAGTCAATGACAGAAGCACTGTGAGATCACAAAGAAAGCTTTGTCCAAAGTGCTTCTGGCCTAAGCCTCAGTATCAGACCACATTTCTTTTTTTGTGCCAAACCAAAACTGAACATTTGTACATCACATCTGGAAAGATGCCCAAAGAACTGAGGGCTGTTATAGAGCAGTGTACTTTTTTTCTGTTTAAATTATCTGTTCAGCTTAAAAGTTTTAAAAAGATTTTCCTGGAAGCACATGTATTTCCCCGTGTGACTAATGGTAACTTGTCAGTTGTTTGTTGATCAAGTCTTGTTTTGTTGCATACTAAATTCACCATGACTTGCTTAGTCGTGAGTTTTAATTACATATATTACACTGCTGATGGATCGTACAACTGAAAATGTTATAAACAAAGTATATAAGTATATATGGACTTCCATTTACTCCTCACCAAGTATCTGCCAAAAACATAAATGGAAACCATATTTACTCGAACAAGGGCTGATGCTCTGGCTCACTAATGCCCCTTTGTGGTAAAGTTTATAGTGACTGTGCCTTCGTTGTCTTTTTATTTTACAAAGTCAATGTTTTAAAGCATCAGACATGTAATGAAGGTTGTTTGCTTGGAGGAATAGCTCTGATCGCTTCTCTCTTTCTATCAAAAGCTATCAATACAAGTTTGAGAACTCAGGAAACCTGCAAGGGTTTAACTAAGATAGTGTCAAGCTCTCAAACCTAGTCAATTAGGTTTCTGTTTTATTACCGACCAAGTCTTAGAAGTGTTGTTGACTCAGCAGAGATAAGTGTTCCTCTAATAGGAAGGACAGCAATAGGAGGAAGCTGCTCTCTTTCTTTATAATCTTCCCTCAAGTCCTTGCTCCTGACACAAGTTCTTGCAACACTGATTGGAGAGCTCTCAGTATCTAGTATTGGGATTTGGTTATCAGTCATGTCACTATCTAGAATTAGAGGAGCACTTTGTCTATATTAACCATCCGCTTGTCTCAACACACAGAAGTGTGTTTATCTTACTGACTGAAGAGTTAGTTCACCCAAAAATGAAAATCATGTTATTAACTACTCACCCATGCGTTGTTTCAATATCAGAACTCAAATTAATAAATTTAAGATTAAATTTAAGAGCTACCCTATTCTCCATAGACTGCAATGGTCCCAAAACAAAGGTCCAGAAAAGGAAGCAAAAACATTGTCAAAACATTCCACATTTTAACTGTAGCTGTACGAAGCTCCAAGAATAATTTTGTGCACCAAAAAAATTTCAATATGACTTTTTTTTGCCTATATCCTCTCTTTTGTTTCAGATTAGAGTGCATGTTTACTATGGCCAGTATGGCATCTTGCCATTAGACTCAGAAGAGCAACAGGCAAGAGAGATATTGCAGGTAGTAGTCATGCACCCTGATCTGACATGGGAGATATTGGTAAAGTCATTTATAATTTATTGGCGTACAAAAGTGTTCTTGGAGTATCATATGATTACATTTAAACTATGGAAGTCCCATGGGAAGTTTTGACAATGTTTTCAGTTAATTTTTTTGACTTTTTACTGTTTGATGTGTACGGTCACACCAGTGTGATTAAAACGTTTAGTGCGTCACGTCATAATTTGCCAAACTTAAATTCACTTCCTGCAATGGCTGAGGCAGATAGAAGCTCTTGTCATAAATCACTAATTTTTCAAACATTTAAATACACATAAGTACTAGAAAAACGTAACGTTAATGGTTTAAAAAAATACACGCTGATGGCTGAAGAAGTCTATGATAATTATTTTTCAAATAATTAATGACAATGTGTGTATTCACATCAGATATACACTGTTTAAGCAACTAGAACGTTTACTCTATTCTTCTCCCAGTTAAACCGCCACTTACTTTCATGTAATTCAGGAGAAGTTGATGAGTTAACGTGTTGTAAATCCAGCAGATCTAATTCCTCAATTACATGACTTTACCCATCGGTCATCATAGATCAAATAATATGATCATTATTAAGCAGTTTGAATCATGAAGTGCATGTTCTTACACATTTTTGAGAATCAGAATATAATATATATTAAAATATAATTAAAAGACAATAGCAAGGCTATTCAAAAATCACATTTTAGGGTCATTTTCAAACAAATGATGTTTATTTTAAGTTTCAAACATTTAAATACACATATGTACTAGCAAAACATAACATTAATTGCTTTTTAAAAAATACACACTGATGTCTATGAAGATGGCCATAATAATAATTTAACACATAATCGATGACGCCATGTGGTATTCAGATTAGATGCACACTGTTTAGGTAATTAGAAGGTTTACTCTATTCTTTTCCCAGTAAACCCACTGCTTACTTTCAAGTAATTCAGGAGAAGTAGAGGAGTTAACATGTTATAATCCAGCATCCTCCACTAACATGGCGGCACACATCGCTTATCATTGATCAAATAATATGATCATTATTAAGCTGTTTAAATCACAGAGTGTGTGTTCTTACTCTTATTTGAGAATAAGAATATCAGACATTACACAATATATGTATGCACGTCATCATGGTAACTTTAAAGCAATGCCTTCTAAGTAATAAAGGTCACAATTAAAAAAACTCACACATTTTTTGGTGGGGGGTGGGGCAACGAGACTATAAAAAGGGTTAACTATTCAAAACCATTGCTGTCTGGAGGATATGAGAGAGATTTCATCTAACAAATGTTAATTAGTGTTCTAATGATATCTCAGGGGATCGGAACAACAAGAGAGAGTAAGTAATTAATATCATAATTTCCATTTTTAGTGAACTAATCCTTTAGAACATCTGTACGGTATGGCTAGGTAATATATTGTACCATTTATTTTATTTTTTTTGTTATATCAACAAACCTTACCAAACACCATTTGATTTAACCCTTGTGTGCTGTTGGGTATAATTTCATCCATTCTGGATTGATTTTGAGTCTTCATTTGACCACAAATTTCTCAGTGTTTCGGCAAATGAAGTGCTTTCTGGTGAGCAAATCTTATTTTGACACATATTTTGAGAAAATGCTTAAAAAATTTTTTTCCAAAAACTCAACAATACACTCTGGACAAATGTACTACCATTTCAATATGTTAGTGGCTATTTTTGCCACCTTGACTTCCATTATGATAATTTTTTTTGATTGCTAAGCGATGAACATAGTAGACATAGTAAGTTTATTTATGCACACACACTATAATTTGCTGTTACTCCATAGAATTCAATTAAATTCAATTAATCCTTGTTTCTGTAGCGCTTTTACAATGTAGATGGTGTCAAAGCAGCTTAACACAAAAAAATCCAGAATCTTTAAAAGCCAGAAAGTTTTTTTAATATTATTTTTTTTTCAAAAGGGTTAATGGTTCCAACTGATGATCAACAGTAAAAATTAATAGTTTTACTTCTTCCCAACAGGGAAAAACACCAACAACCAAGAATGCATGATTATTTGCTGTCATACTTTGCAATCAAAATTTCTCTTTCTAATGGAAGTCAATGGGGCAAAAACAGCCACCAACATTACAAACTGGAACAATACACAAGGGTTAATAGGTTTGCTATTAGGAGTTTGCTAGCATACGCTAATACATTCTTCTTTCCCCTTCTTTTACATCCTCTCCTGTTTGTGGAACACCTGCCCCGTCCTCACCTCCACCTTCCCTTCCTTCACTTCATCTTCTTCCGTTACCTTCTGGTCCATCATTCCTCCCTTTTCTCCTCCTGGTGGTGTGTAGAGTACACTGCTCGTATCCGCTGCATCAATGACAGCCAGAGTGCTCCCGAGTTTGGCCATCGCCGCCGCTCTCTCTCCTTCAGTGGTTGGTGACTCTGATGCTCTGTGCCGCCCACTAACATTAACTCATGATGTATGCGCATGTTGTGCGGTTGTGTGTTATTACTCTCGTGCATCTCTCAAATTCTGCTCATTTCTTTCCCTAATGACGTTTTACTTTAGTTACTGTACTTTCAACTGAAGTCAAAATTATTCTAGTTTTTTTGGTTGTTCCTTTTTCTGAAATATTTCTCAAATGGTGTTTAAAAAAAAAAAAAAAAAAAAAAAAATATATATATATATATATATATATATATATATATATATATATATATATATATTTTTTTTTTTTTTTTTTTTCTACAGAACAAACTATTATGCTTAGAAATGTGTTAGAAAAATCTTCTTTCCGTTAAACACCAATTTGGTAAATAATATATAGGGGGGCTAATAATTCAGAAGGGCTAATAATTCTGACTTCAACTGTACTTTCACAAAGCTGAAATCAGTTTTAATTTACTTTATTATTATTATTATTATTATTATTATTATTATTATTATTATTATTATTATTATTATTATTATATACTGTAGTAACCAGGACCACACCCTGGGGTGCGTTTCCCAAACAACGACGTAACTTGCGGCTGAACTATCATAGTATGATGCATCGTTTGGGAAAAGAAGCAGTTTTCCAAACCCCATAGTTTCTCTGTCGCAGATCCATCATTTAAACTACATTAGTTATAACATAAAATGCCCATAATGATGCTAACGGGGTGGAGTAACTACTTCTTTAGTGAAGAACCATAATTTCTTTGTGTATTTTTGTTTTGTTTTACATGCACTTGCATTAAAATAAAACCTAATATTATTTTTGGTAAAAACATCCACTCGTTTTCGATATTAACTGAAATATATGTAAATGGCACATATAGGGCCGGTGTTTCCTTTACTAATATTATTAAGTACATTACATATTCTATTCTAAAATTGTAAATGTCTTACAAAAGCTAACACATATTCTAATATCATATATAAATCATTTAAATAAATAGATATTGAGGCTATTTATTCAGAAATGAAATGTAATATTTATTAGGAAATGAAAAAAAATCTACTTTAATAATATTATTAATGATGATGACGATTTTTATTATCATTGCCATTATTATTATTATTATTATTATTATTATTATTATTATTATTATTATTATTATTATTATTATTATTATTATTATTATTATTATTATTATTATTAAGTAGGATATTGTTTATTTTATTGTTTTTTTTTTTTTTTTGAAAATTCGACTTACAATTTGACATCCAAGCCACAGCAGAAATGTTCTAACCAACAGGCCCATGTCATATACAGTACAGATACTTAATAAATAACCCATTATAAATTAAAATAATTAACGTATGCTATGTTTTTTGTTTTCATAAGCCTTGGAGACATAACATTAAATCCCGCTTTTTAAATAATAGATCACCTATAGCTTTTGAGCCACAGCAGGGTTCCAAATGGCATCAATGTTTTCAAAGTGCACTGGGAAGGGACTGCAAATGTGAACTTGTAGATCGCTAAAACTGAACTGTAAAAATATTTTGAAAGCAAATTACAGCTAAGAATGATGACTCTAATGCTTTAGAAAAATCATTCTAAGTTTAAATGTTCGAATGTTCTAAATGATTAGGGAATAGGGGGGATAACTGGGAATAGAACACAGCAAGGAACCATGTCTCTAACTACAGCTCCAGAGATGTAGTTGCAAGCATACAAGTTTGTGACGCAGTTTGTGAATGTTCGTTAAAACGATGGATTTGGGAAACACCAAATCAACAAACTATGACAGAACTTGCGAACTTGGCTGACGATGATCTTCGGAAACGCACCCCTGGACAGTATATTGAGCACCTTTAAGGTCTGCATGAACCAGACATTCCTACCGACCGTTATAAGTATGAAGTAATGGGTGGTGTTTTATTTTAGTTTGTTTTAGAATATATAAGGATATTCTGCCATCATCAGTGAAGGAGCACTATTTTAGAGCAGAATCAACAACAACAAAAAAAAAAAAAAGCAAGAAAACATCCCTTTTTATTTTTCTTGCTTCAATTGCACAGATTGATGAATGGTGTAAAAAAAATCCAATGAGGGTCTCTATTGAACTAGACATGTCAGGCACCCTTTGTATTTTATGCGGCGTATACTGTCAGAGCCCTCGAATTTGACATATTCATGGTTTATTTTGTTATTGTCATTTCTTTGCACACTTACTATTAATTATCAGTAGGAATCATGAGTGTAGGACAGTGTAGTTTCTGTTTATATTTTTAATTCTTAACACACCTCAAATATTTCAGGTACTGTAAACTGTGCTCAATTTTACACAATTTAAAGCTTAAATTGTAAGCTTTAAACAGTGCTTCGACTGTCTTTTCATAATAAAATTTCCACATTTAATGTCTGATAACTTTAAAAATCAGTCTGCCCGAGAGATATGTGATATGTCTCAGACCAGAGAAGAAGCACTGAATTAAATAACATTTTTCACTGCCATGTCTTTAAAATATGACAGTTTATTTTACCCCAGTATTTTCAAAGAAATTTCTGCGCTTGCCTGCTGATCCTGACGGTGCTAGTGGTTACTTGGCCTTTCATCTAGTTTTATGCTTAAACATCTAAATGAATGCTGAATTCTATCTAACTGAATGTATTTTAATTTCATTACAACATTGATGCTGTAAAAGGAACCTTATGAAAGTTTATCATCGGCTGAAAAACACTGGCTGTGCATATACCCCATTAGGTTGATGAGGCAATTTAGGGTAAAAAGGGGGTTAATATTATTGACCTCAAAACCATTTGAATAAATTAAAAACTTGTTTTATTTCAGCCAATCCAAACAAAAAAAGTCTTATTCTAGAAGAAAGGAAATATGAAACACTGTGAAAAATGCATTGAAACACTGTAAACAGTATTCGGGAAATGTTTTAAAAAACATTTAGATTGCAATATTAATGTTGCTGTATTTCAAAGAATGTGGGAAACTGATAACCTGCCTTCCATTATATTAACATTGCTTTTATGGAGGAATCAACATCTACCATTTTCCATCATTCTTCAAAATATCTTCTATTGTGCTCAACATACTCAAGAAACAAACGGATTTGAAAACACACGAGGTTGAGCTAAATCTTCATTCTAAGGCCCCGTTTACACTAATGCGTTTTAGTTTGAAAACGCATAAGTTTTGCTACGGTTACGCCAACCGTCCACACTACGCCGGAGTTCTCGAGCGCCGAAAACGGAGCGTTTCGAAAACGCTGGAGAGGCCGTTTTCATTTTGAAACGCTGCTGCTCCGTCTCAGTGTGGATGATGGAAAACGGAGACATCTGAAAACGGAGGCGGGGCTGCAGACGTTCGCCTCTCTGATTGGGGCTTTTCCTGAATATTAAGTAGCCTAACACACAGTTCAGTCCTGAATCTTCTCCGTGTAAGTTCAGACTTCGCAAGTTTGATCAAGGCTGCAGTCTCTTCTTCTCAGTTTGATATGGAAAAGCAGACTATACCGAGGACACGGGTAAATCTTCAAAGGGAACAGTGTACTTTATAACTTCATTCACATCACCCTGGCTTCGTTGTTTCACTTTCTCAACAATAAAATGTAAACATGATTTAAGGAACTGCCTATTTTCATTTTAATATTAGCAACTTAGACAGCAGACATGTTGAGGCGCCGTGCTGTATAAGATGAGCGTCATCTTCACTGTGTGCATATTTATAACAAAACGGAGCCGATAACAACTGCCTCCTTTCAATTTCAGTGAAAATACGAAACATCCCCTCTCTTTTGCTGAGTATCAGTTTTAAGAATCGATAATGGCCATTTTAAAAGTATAACATACAATAAGTTTATACATTATAGGAAATAAAGGCAAGCGATCAGTCAATATACAGAATGTACGTGGTTACATTAATCATTAACTTATCTTTGCGCTCAGCCAAAACACGTTACCTGAGAACAAGTAATAGATTCCAATGCCCAAAGTCAGGGAATATGTCGTTAGATAAAGACAACAAGATGAATGAAATATCCCGTTTAATAAATATAGTGAGATTAGATCCAGCGGGAGATGCTTGATGAGAAGTCCGACTAGCAGAGCTCTCATCTGGGTACATGGGCTGCAGCGCTTGCCCGAGAGCGTCTGTGTGGTCACGTGATGTGCGTTTTCAGCGTTTTGGTGTGGACGGAGAGCAGTTCAGAAACGCTGGGTAAAACGCGAGTGTGGACGCGGATCGTTTTCATTCTAAAACGCCGTTTTAAAACTAAAACGTACTAGTGTAAACGGGGCCTAAATCTCTAAAAACTGAATTTCCCAAAGTTCTTCTGCTATTTTGTTTCATGTTATCTAATCTTTCATCTCCCTTACTAATTTAGCACTCTTCCGTAACCACTAACCTGTGCTGGGATTTTCACCTTGTTTGGGTGGAATAACAGTTAACAGGAGCAAGAGCTCTAGTTTGCTCCTTTATGCCAGTGACCTCTACAAACAAATTGCATTTGTATTATGTGACGAGTTAAAGTTACAGAGTATCAGGACAAAGGCCAGTCTGTCTGGATCAACTGAGCCCATGTCACAAGATCCAGTCTGCCAGACCCGGGGAACAATACAGACACTGGCTTCATTCAAGGACTCTCCTTTACCTCTGTTTTAGCATTTAGATGAAGGACAAAGAGTAATAAATCCTCCCTGAGTCTGGAGACCATTATACAATCCTTATCTGCCACTGGGGAGTAAACGTCTCGAACGGCTGACAGTCTTCGGTCCCGTTCGAGAACCCATTCAGTAGCCAGATATACCAGGACAAATGTTTTTGTTGGACGTCTTCTGAATCGGATCCAGTCCGGATTGAACAATAGCATAAACGAGACTATGGAGATAGAGAAAAGAGCAATATATCCTGCTTTGCGGTATTCTTATCTTATTCACATTGTGCTGAAACCCTGAGGATGAAGAAGAAAAATTTAATAAAAAAT